CTATAGACTAGACTATAGACTAGACTATTGACTAGACTATAGACTAGACTATAGACTAGACTATAGACTAGACTATAGACTAGACTGTAGACTAGACTATAGACTAGACTATAGACTAGACTATAGACTAGACTATAGACTAGACTATAGACTAGACTATAGACTAGACTATAGACTAGACTATAGACTAGACTATAGACTAGACTATAGACTAGACTATAGACTAGACTATAGACTAGACTATAGACTAGACTATAGACTAGACTATAGACTAGACTATAGACTAGACTATAGACTAGACTATAGACTAGACTATAGACTAGACTATAGACTAGACTATAGACAAGACTATAGACTAGACTATTGACTAGACTATTGACTAGACTATTGACTAGACTATAGACTAGACTATAGACTAGACTATAGACTAGACTATAGACTAGACTATAGACTAGACTATAGACTAGACTATAGACTAGACTATAGACTAGACTATAGACTAGACTAGACTAGACTATAGACTAGACTATAGACTAGACTATAGACTAGACTATAGACTAGACTATAGACTAGACTATAGACTAGACTATAGACTAGACTATAGACTAGACTATAGACTAGACTATAGACTAGACTATAGACTAGACTATAGACTAGACTATAGACTAGACTATAGACTAGACTATAGACTAGACTATAGACTAGACTATAGACTAGACTATAGACTAGACTATAGACTAGACTATAGACTAGACTATAGACTAGACTATAGACTAGACTATAGACTAGACTATAGACTAGACTATAGACTAGACTATAGACTAGACTATAGACTAGACTATAGACTAGACTATAGACTAGACTATAGACTAGACTATAGACTAGACTATAGACTAGACTATAGACTAGACTATAGACTAGACTAGACTAGACTATAGACTAGACTAGACTATAGACTAGACTATAGACTATAGACTAGACTATAGACTGGACTATAGACTAGACTAGACTATTAGACTAGACTATAGACTAGACTATAGACTAGACTATAGACTAGACTATAGACTAGACTATAGACTAGACTATAGACTAGACTTTAGACTAGACTATAGACTAGACTAGACTATAGACTAGACTATAGAATAGACTATAGACTAGACTATAGACTAGACTATAGACTAGACTATAGACTAGACTATAGACTAGACTATAGACTAGACTATAGACTAGACTATAGACTAGACTATAGACTAGACTGTAGACTAGACTATAGACTAGACTATAGACTAGACTATAGACTAGACTATAGACTAGACTATAGACTAGACTATAGACTAGACTATAGACTAGACTATAGACTAGACTATAGACTAGACTATAGACTAGACTATAGACTAGACTATAGACTAGACTATAGACTAGACTATAGACTAGACTATAGACTAGACTATAGACTAGACTATAGACTAGACTATAGACTAGACTATAGACTAGACTATAGACTAGACTATAGACTAGACTATAGACTAGACTATAGACTAGACTATAGACTAGACTATAGACTAGACTATAGACTAGACTATAGACTAGACTATAGACTAGACTATAGACTAGACTATAGACTAGACTATAGACTAGACTATAGACTAGACTATAGACTAGACTAGACTATAGACTAGACTATAGACTAGACTATAGACTATAGACTGGACTATAGACTAGACTATAGACTAGACTATAGACTAGACTATAGACTAGACTATAGACTAGACTATAGACTAGACTATAGACTAGACTATAGACTAGACTATAGACTAGACTTTAGACTAGACTATAGACTAGACTAGACTATAGACTAGACTATAGAATAGACTATAGACTAGACTATAGACTAGACTATTGACTAGACTATAGACTAGACTATAGACTAGACTATAGACTAGACTATAGACTAGACTGTAGACTAGACTATAGACTAGACTATAGACTAGACTATAGACTAGACTATAGACTAGACTATAGACTAGACTATAGACTAGACTATAGACTAGACTATAGACTAGACTATAGACTAGACTATAGACTAGACTATAGACTAGACTATACTAGACTATAGACTAGACTATAGACTAGACTATAGACTAGACTATAGACTAGACTATAGACTAGACTATAGACTAGACTATAGACTAGACTATAGACTAGACTATAGACTAGACTATAGACTAGACTATAGACTAGACTATAGACTAGACTATAGACTAGACTATAGACTAGACTATAGACTAGACTATAGACTAGACTATAGACTAGACTATAGACTAGACTATAGACTAGACTATAGACTAGACTATAGACTAGACTATAGACAAGACTATAGACTAGACTATTGACTAGACTATTGACTAGACTATTGACTAGACTATAGACTAGACTAGACTATAGACTAGACTATAGACTAGACTATAGACTAGACTATAGACTAGACTATAGACTAGACTATAGACTAGACTATAGACTAGACTATAGACTAGACTATAGACTAGACTATAGACTAGACTATAGACTAGACTATAGACTAGACTAGACTATAGACTATAGACTAGACTAGACTATAGACTAGACTATAGACTAGACTAGACTATAGACTAGACTAGACTATAGACTAGACTATAGACTAGACTATAGACTAGACTATAGACTAGACTATAGACTAGACTATAGACTAGACTATAGACTAGACTATAGACTAGACTATAGACTAGACTATAGACTAGACTATAGACTAGACTATAGACTAGACTATAGACTAGACTATAGACTAGACTATAGACTAGACTAAGAGACTAGACTATAGACTAGACTATAGACTAGACTATAGACTAGACTATAGACTAGACTATAGACTAGACTATAGACTAGACTATAGACTAGACTATAGACTAGACTATAGACTAGACTATAGACTAGACTATAGACTAGACTATAGACTAGACTATAGACTAGACTATAGACTAGACTATAGACTAAACTATAAACTAGACTATAGACTAGACTATAGACTAGACTATAGGCTAGACTATAGACTAGACTATAGACTAGACTATAGACTAGACTATAGACTAGACTATAGACTAGACTATAGACTAGACTATAGACTAGACTATAGACTAGACTATAGACTAGACTATAGACTAGACTATAGACTAGACTATAGACTAGACTATAGACTAGACTATAGACTAGACTATAGACTAGACTATAGACTAGACTATAGACTAGACTATAGACTAGACTATAGACTAGACTATAGACTAGACTATAGACTAGACTATAGACTAGACTATAGACTAGACTATAGACTAGACTATAGACTAGACTATAGACTAGACTATAGACTAGACTATAGACTAGACTATAGACTAGACTATAGACTAGACTATAGACTAGACTATAGACTAGACTATAGACTAGACTATAGACTAGACTATAGACTAGACTATAGACTAGACTATAGACTAGACTATAGACTAGACTATAGACTAGACTATAGACTAGACTATAGACTAGACTATAGACTAGACTATAGACTAGACTATAGTAGACTATAGACTAGACTATAGACTATACTATAGACTAGACTATAGACTAGACTATAGACTAGACTATAGACTAGACTATAGACTAGACTATAGACTAGACTATAGACTAGACTATAGACTAGACTATAGACTAGACTATAGACTAGACTATAGACTAGACTATAGACTAGACTATAGACTAGACTATAGACTAGACTATAGACTAGACTATAGACTAGACTATAGACTAGACTATAGACTAGACTATAGACTAGACTATAGACTAGACTATAGACTAGACTATAGACTAGACTATAGACTAGACTATAGACTAGACTATAGACTAGACTATAGACTAGACTATAGACTAGACTATAGACTAGACTATAGACTAACTATAGACTAGACTATAGACTAGACTATAGACTAGACTATAGACTAGACTATAGACTAGACTATAGACTAGACTATAGACTAGACTATAGACTAGACTATAGACTAGACTATAGTCTAGTCTATTGTATAGTCCATAGTCTAGTCTAAAGTTGACTTTTCATAAATTGCAGAAAGTTTAAAAGAAGATATTTGTTTCTCAAGTAAAAAATAAGTTATACAAAAGAAAAAAAAATAAGTTATACAATAGAAAAAATCTCCTTATTATCTATTTCCTAATTAAATATTTGCAGGGTAAAAAGTTTAAAAAGTATTTTTATAAATGTCATCTAATTTCATGAAATTAAAAATTTCTAATGTCAAAAACCTTAAAAATACACAAAACATTTTTTTAACAACCTATTTGGTGGGAATTTAAAATTTTTATTACTTAATTGTCAAGTAGGGTACAATACGAAATCAACGACTTATAAAAACAAATATAAACATAAATCAAACCATAAAAGAAGCTCATTAAACAGGCTTAAAGTACTAATAAAAAATAGACGTCTCAAAGTATCACATACATACCTATGTATATACCACACTTAAGAATGGGGAGGAAATAGACTTGTCATTAGCGAAAAACTGCAAACAATTCCAGACACCTAGAAACTATACACTAACTGACTATAAAGGAAGACGAAAAAGATGAAAAAATAAATAACAAAGATACTCACAATTGTCTCAATGGACATAATACTTTGGCATGGAAATAATAATAATGACATAAGTAAGAAGAACCTAAAGGCGTTGCTAACGCCTATTCATAACACACTAACAAAGTCCAGAAAAAAATAGGGGATTATAAAACAAACATGGTCCACGAAAAAAAAAAAAATGTAAGAAAAATCCCAAGGTTCAAGAATGAAGAATGGTTCAAGTAGAAGCAAAAAAAAAAAAAAAAAAGAGTTGTCACTTAAAAATCATCACTCATATATGACCACAAAAATACATAATAATAACATTTTTTCTTTTCTTTTGCAGACATCATAATTATTGGATAAATAAAACACTTTCAAACAAAAGCCATAGATATAACAAACTCACAAGATATACGTGTGTCGATCTTAAAGATACAAATTCAAAGAAAACAAAAGTTTTCTTAAAAAAGAGCGAGAGAAAATAAAGCGAACTAGACATCACAGCCGAAGAAGCACAATTCAAATAAATAACATGAGTTTTCGAATTTTAACACCATTAACGACAAATAGAATGTCACGTCTAATATTCATAACTCTGCTAAGTGTATTGATTTTAACACCTGAAAGCATACAGGCTGCCAGAAGATCACGTTTAGATTTAACAGCGGCAAATGTTTCAGCCTCAGATGTTGCTGCTGCCGCCGCCACCAGTACCAACAGTAATAATGATAGTGAAACTTTAAAAACTGCATCAGCACCTCAAGTGTCTTTGGATAATGCATCATCGGCTTTACCTTTAAAAACTGATCAATCATCATTGGCATCAGATACTTCAGCGGGTAGTGGAGATAATGCAGCAATTGTTAAAGATACGATTGCTTTACCAGCTGTTGTAGATACTGGCAAATCGGCTGCTTCCGATTTAATTGCTGAAGAAGAAAAACAACCTGCTGATGCGGAATTGCCTAAAGAACAAAAAGAAACACCTACTGCTAGTTTTGAAGATGTTGAGGTCGTGGATAGTGCTACACAATTAGGTGCATCGGGTAATGGTGGTTCTTCTTCTCAGTCTCATGAAGAGTGTGATTCGGATATGATGGGTTTTGAGATAGTAACCGGGTAAGTTTTAAGAATATATTTTAAACACTAATTAGGATTACGGAAATAATTGTATATCTGATCGAAAGTGGAATGTAATTCTTTTGAAAAGGCTGATGTTTCAGATATAGAATTATTAGGAAAGTGTATCTAAACAGTTCTTGTGTGAAAGGTTTTGTTGAAATATCAGGAAGTCGTAGTCATTTAAAAGCTGATATACCTTATACTCAGACAGCCATGCTATATCGATCTATAAGACATTCATTTGAAAATCTTTTCCCAAAACTTCGAATTGTTTTGATCGTACTCTAGATCCTACGTTCTATTCTGTATTGCTTTATAATCCCAACTCTGTGAATGATAAGACATTATCTCCACCAATAGCTCTTCTACAAAGATTTCTCAATGGTGAGACTGTGTTCGTTGCATGATTGATCGATGCGCGGATCAAATTTGCCGATTGTGTCTTCTGAGTATCGCTCAAGATCTAAATCAGCAACGAATTTTAAAGATTTTAAAATAAAATAGACTTTTTTTAGATAACTAATAATTGTAAAAATCTAACATTATTGGAATATGTTCTAAATTGATTAGTTCTAAAACGGGTGCAATCGAATTTGTATTCGAATACGGAGTAACAGCAACTAATGATGTCTTCTGAGTAGTTTTCAAGGAACCAGTTCTTTGGCAAGCATATTAGTTCTGCAAAAATTTCTTGGAACCCTTTGAAAAAAAAAAAAAAAAAAATAATGCAAAATGAACTAGTTCTAGAACTGTTCCAAGGAAGGTGCATATGTTCTCCAAAGTTTCGGTAGAACTAGTTCCAAGTGTGACAATTTCGAAAAACAGAATTAATTAAAGAATGGTTTCAGAATGTTTCACAAAACGATAGACGACTATATATCGCCAGCACATAACGAATTCTGAAGGTTTGGAGTTCGAGATATCGTGTCCTAAAATTCCGGTTTGGCCATATTTGAGAAATTATAACAGCGCAAAAACATTTTTTTTACTTCTGTTATGCCGTCTGAATGTTCAATATGTTAATTTTAAAATAAAAGTTTAAATTCTGTAATATCATGTTCCTTCTTCGAGATATCATAACATAATGATTGAATTAAAAAACTGATTATACCCTACACCACTTTAGTGGGCTTGTGCTGATGTTAGAAACGCACAATAATATTGGTCTTATACACACCTTAAAGTATACCAATCGGCTTAGAATTATTTTCTATGTCCTTCTATGTCTATTGTCCAAGGACGAAGCCTATTGAAAATGGTTAAGATCGGTTCATTATTTCACCTAGCCCTCATACAACTGAACCCCTTAATGCTAATGCGGCTTGTAAACCTTGAATCAAACTACAGGTCGCAATTATACGGTCTCATTTGACCATAGCTTTCTTTACAAAGCACCCTTCAAAATTTGTCTTAAATGTCCACAATTTTTCATTAATAAGGCTTAAGTATCTGAGGCAAGGTACAATTCAACTTAAATGCTTATTTGAAAACTAACTCACATTTTATTTTGTAACAGGTGTAGGGTATTATATGCTCGGCCTCGTCCGACTATAATTTCTTACTTGTTTTTTTAATTGTTTTCATAAAAATACTTTTTGAAATTTTTACAAAATTCTTCCATTTGGTGAACAGACCTTAAACCTTTTTTTAAAAGTCAACAGATGGGATTTTCAGATAGCATAACAGATTTTATAATTAAGGTGCCTTTGCTCTGTTATAACGTCTCAAATATGGCCATTATGACATCTTAGGACACGATATCTCGAAAATCCCATGTAATGGAGAAATTCTGTGTCAATCCTATAGGAAAGTATATTTTGATCTTTGGGATTCCAATTTTTGGCAAATTTTGTTGGCCTATGTTATTCACCTGTTGTTGAATCAGTACCTTTGTATAATACAGACTATATGAGGAAGTTTTTGCTGGGATATACATATCTGGGACAATAACAACACTAAATTAAAACACTCCCCTGTCATAATTTAATAATAAAGAATTAACAAATTCTTTAATTAAATCACGTAGCCAAAGATTCATAAAAATAAATCTAAAAAAAATTTGCAATACTTCACTTCTAAGTTTCAATTACCAATGAAAAACCAAGAAAGTCACATAAAAATTTTCTTATGAAGAGTAATAAAAAAAAATATTAAAATTATAAAATCATAAAAGAAGAATTGAATTTCTTATACGTATACTTGCCCATAATTTACATGATGAAAGACAGTTAAAAAATCCAAGTTAACTTATACATTGTTGAAAAATCAGTTAAACTTACTATAAAAGAAATGAAAGAATAAATAATCAGTTAATAAATTATTACAGGTAAAATTACAAGAAAAAGTTTGCAGTTAAATTCTAACTAATAAATAACAAATTATTTAGAGTTGAAAAGGAAAAATAACGTTGTTTGTTGTCTTTACTCAAGCAAAAAGTTTGTTGTTGATTGCGGTCTTTTTTAACTGCAATTTCAAGAAAATGTTGCAAGATAGATATATATTTTACAATACAAATCAAATTCTAGCCATAATATAGATCATAACCAATTGATTGTAGTTATACCCTACACCACTATAGTGGGGAGGGTATATTGGATTTGTGCTGATGTTTGTAACATATAAAAATATTCGTAGACCCACCTTAAAGTATACCAATCGGCTTAGAATCGTTTTCTGAGTCGATTAAGCTATGTCCGTCCGTCCGTCTGGCTGGCTGGCTGTCCATGTAAACCTTGTGCGCAAGCTACAGGTCGCAATCAAGATAATTGGATGAAATTTGGCACGCACGTTTTATTTTACCCAAGGACG